TCCAGTTTATTTGATCGAGCCTCACCCTCAACTCTTGTGTTCATCCTTCGGGATAGATACAAGATTTGAGGTAAAGAGCTCTTTCATTTAAAATATAAAAATTATGGGATCAGTTTGACTTCATCTTTTTCAAAACTAAATTTTTTTTTTAAAAAAAAATGTCCTTCCGAAGCGGGCAATGGGATTTTAATTCCGATGACCGACAGCTTCTTACGGGCAAACCCCACATAAAAAATAGTGCCGACATTCACGTACAGTGGAGCTGTTCGCAACCAAAAAACACTACATAACAGTTGAAAGAAAAAAAAAATATACTCCCCGCTCAACGAAGTCTATCTACAAATCTATTAACAATAAAGCTACACATCTACAATTCTTAAGGCTAGTGAGAATATGTATTCAGTGTACCATATGAAGAGCAGGAAAATCAATTACGTTAACATAAGTAATTAAAGTAAAAAAAATTATGAAAAAGTCATATTAACAAAATAGAGTGTTGTACATGCAGGAAGTAAGCACCTACACTATTATTGCTCCAACTTGCAGTCAAGTGGAGAGAATTTGAAAAAAAAAAAACTCAAAAATTAAGGGAAATTTACATATGTAGCACACAATTCATAAGTATTTACATGTCTCACACCTAAACTTCTATATTTACAAACATAACATTTCGGCCAAATGGGGTAGTTGGGAGAAGCGGCTAGGGCAGACGAGCAAAGGAATGTTGTATATGCTAGAAATCAAGAATGAGAAGAAGAAGAAAGGAGGAAGTTGAAATGGGGAAGATTACAAGGACGTTCTTTATTCCAAAGAAATGGAGAGATGCTTGCTGGGTAGAGAGGGATCCGTCCAAATGCGGGAGTAGGGAGAAGCGGCTAGGGCAGATGAGCAAATTGGAGCGAAAGATGGAGCTCGGCGCAGCCAGGGCAGGACCCAAATTAGAGCGGAAGGGGGAGCTCGGGGCAACTAGGGCAAACGCGATCGAAAGGCGGAAGAAGGAGATCGTCGCAGCTTGGGCAGCTTCGCGATTGAATTGAGCGAGGCAGACACGGGAATGTTTCGAAGGGCCAATAGTTAAAATTTCATTCGCAAAAATAAACGCTAACCAAATGGGACGGCAGTGTTTTCAAAACGCCGCCCGCACTTTTAAGCTGTCCCAAACGGGTTCTAAAAGGCTAACAAAATTTATATTCAATTAAAATTATTAATTAAAAAATAGAATAACAATATATTAAATTCTATTTAAATGAATATTTTAATATAAATAATAAAATTTAAATCTTGCCCCTACCCTTTACATCCTACGGCTGTGTGACTGAGGCTGTCAAAACGACTCGTTATTCACAAACAGCTCGTGTTCGGCTCGCTCAACAAAAGAGCAAAACACAAATAATTTTTTTTGCGCTCGACATATGAACCAGCTGAACACAAATAGTGGTATTTTTTAACAAGTTGAACACAAACAGTGTAATTTTTTAAAGGGCCGAACGAAAGCCGAGCTTGGGCTTGCTCAAGCTAGCCTCATTTACACCCTTATAGTTATGTGGCTCGGCTTGTGTGTGTAGTAGTTTAATATTTTTTTGTTAGAGCCTATGAGAATATGTATGAATAATTTATTTAATTGGATATTAATATTTTAATATCCAATTAAAAAGTGCGAACGCTATTGATATCTCGGGTTTACTGTTCAAAGTGATGGTTATATAGATGGGGATGCTATTAGTAGAATATTAGTAGAATTCAAATTGATTGATTGGTTAACGTGGAGGAATGCATCGGGCCTATTGTGTGATTAAAAAGTACCGCTTAGACTGAAAGGAAAATTTTATAAGAAGACAGTGAGACCTGAAATGCTATATGGAGAAAAATGTTGGTCTTTAAAAGAGAAACACAAAACTAAGTTGAGTATTGCCGAGATGAGAATGCTTAGTTGGATGGGCGGCTTTGCACTTAGAGACAAAATGTGAAATAAATATATCAGTGAAAGTGTCGGTGTAGCGCCAGTAGCCGAACAAAATTAAGGAGAGACGTCTTAGATGGTTTGGTCATATTAAAAGTAGACCACCTAATGATCCAGATAGGTGAGTTGATATTTTTTATTCGACTTATGTTAAGAAAAACAGAGGGACCTAAAAGACTTGGCCATATATTGTATAAAAAATGATCTTAATTTATTAGAATTAAATGAGAATATAATATTCAAATGGACTCAATGTAGAAAAAGAATTCATGTAGGCGACACCACTTAGTGAGATAAGAACTTGTTAATGTTGTTGTTGAAATTAATATTTTTAATTAATATTTAATTTCTTAATTAAAAAATTATTAATTAAATTAAAATTGATTTTGATTAAAATTTTTCTTAATTAATATTGTTTAGTTTATGAAAGTAATTAAATAATATAATTTTAAATCCCAAACTACATTAAATTCTTTAAATTAATATTTTTTTAGTTAAATAATATTAAAAATCTAAAACCTTGCTCTTTAATTTAATACAGAGTAAAAGTCACACATCTTCACTTACCCAAACGCCATCCCTTCCATCCTGCACCACACATCCATTAAAGCAAGCCACCGCGTAAGTCAATGAGAGTCAAGAAGAAACCACGGTGGAAATCACACTTTTAAACGCATACTTCCGTCCTCTTGCTTCTCTTCCCCTCTTCAACCGTCTCTCCTGCTCTTAAACCTTGATCTGTGCCATGGCAGACTGGGTTGTTGGCCCAATCATGGATAAGATCATCAACGCTTGCTCTGTTTACCTGCAAGATCAATATAGATGGCAGAAGGGCATGAAGGAGGAGCTCGAAAGGCTGCGAGAAAACCACCCTAAGGTCCAAGCTGTCGTTTCTGCTTCCACCAAAGCACAGATCAGAGATCGAAACCCAGCACTCAACAGCTGGATCTGGCAGCTACGGGATGCCATCGATGAGGCAGATGATGTTCTTGATGACTTTGAGTACATGAAGCTTGAAGAAGAACAACTGGAGCAGAACATGGAGGAAACAAAGGTGCCTTCTTTATTCACTAGATTATTTTCGGAACCTGCTAGCAAACTTCGCAGAGTCTGCGAACGAGCTCTCAAAAAGGATCCCAACTTGGAGAGACTGGAGACAATTGTGAAGAAACTTGATAAAGTTTCAGCTGAGGTCAGCACTTTCTTTCCTCTCATCGAAAAGGCAAAGCAGGAGCAGCAGGAGCTGGAGCTTCAGTTGTGCGAAGATCGTAAAACAGGATGCTTGCCTCAAAATGATTTCATCGGTCGAGGCGAGGAGAAGGATTTTGTTATGCAGTGGTTGAGGAAGCCAACAAATGAAGATCCAACTCATATTGCTAGCCCTACTTTGTACAAAAACATTTCTCTTCTATCCATAGTGGGTCATGGTGGCATGGGCAAAACAACTCTCTTACAACACATCTATGAAGATCTTAAAGAAGAATTTGAAATGAAAATGTGGGTTTGTGTTTCCAACGACTTTGATGCAAAAAAGGTCATTGCCGATATATTGGAATTTCTTAACAAGGAGAGGCCTCATTTGGATTCACTCGCTGCTGTTCAAGAGAGTCTTAAAGCTGTCGTGCAATCCAAAAGGTTCTTGCTTGTTTTGGATGACATTTGGGAGGAAGATATGAGGAAATGGGAGAATGTACTCTCCCCTCTAGTTTACGGAGGTTTGGGAAGTAAAATTTTGTTGACCACACGGATGGATTCTGTTGCAGCGATGATTTCGAATGTGATTAGAAAGAAGAAAGAAACATTGAAAATAAAAGGCTTGGAGGAAAATGTGTGTTTGAAGCTACTCAACACCCATGCATTTGCTGGTGTAGAGAACTTTGGTGCTCATAAAAAACTAACACATATTGCTAGTTTGATAGCTAAAAAGCTTTCAGGATCTCCGTTGGCAGCGAAGGTCATCGGTGGTGTTCTCAATTCTAGCTTGAATGAGAGCTTTTGGATGAGCATTTTAAATAGCCCTGATGTTCTAAACGTAGAACCAGAACCGGGTCACAATAACATTTTGCCTATTTTAAGATTGAGTTTTAAGTTGCTTCGACAACCTCTACAAAATTGTTTTGCATTTTGTGGAATATTCCCACAAGATCATGAGTTTGATAAAGATGATTTAGTCCGAATGTGGATTGCATTGGGTTTCATTCAGGAATCTTCTATTGAAGGAGAGACTTTGGAAGATATTGGAGGAAGGTATTTTGATGCTTTGGTCAGAAAATCTTTCTTTGAGGAGTTTCAGGATTACAAGGGAATAAACTATAAGATGCATGATTTATTACATGAATTGGCACAGTCTATTTCTTCAGAGGAATGTTTCAGATTTGTGGGAGGCGATGTTTTGTCTCTTAAAATTCCTAAAACTATTCGACACTTATATGTTAAAACTGAAAATCTCGAAGTGCTGAGAATGATAAAAAATGTTAAAAGCCTACATTCACTTTTTCTTACAAGTAAAAGACATGGCCAACATTTTACTGAAATACTTACCGAAATTTTTGAAGCATCGAGCAGGATTCGTCTGTTGTTGATACACTCTACATATCAGAAAAATATGTCTGAGGCTATTAAAAATTTGAGACATCTTCGATATTTGAAGCTTACTGTTAATCTCACCCAGATGCCAAGATCTCTAAGCAGTCTTTATCATTTGCGGTTCATAATCTGCAACAAGGTGGGTGGGGGACATTGCTCTCATGATTTCTTGCCTGGCGATGTTAGTAATTTTTCTAATCTGCGTCACTTGGAATTGCGTGTCCATGTGAGTTTGAGTTTACGTGGAATTGGGAAATTAAGGTCACTTCAAGAACTAAGTGAGTTTAATGTTAAGAATGAGAATGGTTATAGAATTGGGGAGTTGAAAGAAATGAGCGAGTTGCGCAAATTAAAAATAAATGGTCTGGAAAATGTGAACGATGCTGCAGAGGCTCGCAATGCAAAATTTTGTGAAAAGAGAAAACTCACAGATTTATTCTTGAAATGGAAGTCAGACATGAGAGGCGGAAGCCTACGGAACTTTGTCAATTCTGAGTTAGATGTGAATGTGCTTGAAAATCTTGAACCATACAAAAATTTGAAAAGATTATCCATATTTTCATATGAGGGCGTAAAATCTGCAAAATGGATGTACAATGCCGATTTGATCTCCAATTTAGAGTACATCCGTCTGGACGAGTGTTCGGAGTGGGAAACTCTTCCACCTCTTGGGCAGCTTCTCCACCTCAAGTCACTGTATCTTCGTAACATGCCAAAAGCAAAGCGGCTTGATTATAAATTCCATCGGAATGACAAGGTTTCTGTGTTTCCATCGTTGGAGATGCTAAATATGGAGGGATTACAAATATTGGAGAATTGGTTTGATGAAGCAGGAGCAGCCGCAGATGACTGTTTCTTTCCTTGCTTAACGGAACTCTTCCTTGAAAACTGCCCAAATCTGCAGGAGTTGCCCTATTTGCCTCCTAAGCTCAAGAAAATGAAGATACAAAACATCGGATGGAAGACTGCTTTGATCTGCAAGCAAGAGGACCTTTTGTGTCCAAACATCACATCTTCCCTTTCTCTTGGTGGACTGCAACAAGCGGAGAGTAACATTGAGAAATTCCAGCTTATTCTCTGTGACGTTGTTATAGATGAACCATCCTTGTTGCCAACGGTAAATATCGCCTCGTTGGAAATGCTCAGAATTTGTAATAATGATGTGCTGCAGTCTCTCCCTTCCTCCTTGGAACGTCTCTCTTCCCTGAAAGAATTGAACCTTCAATTTCTGAAATCATTGCAGTGTCTGCCATCTTCTTTGCCGGTCATCTCATCCCTAGAGCGTCTACAGTTAAAAAGGATTCCACTCCTCAGATCATTGCCAGACCTCCCTTCCTCCTTGAAATATCTGAATATAAATAGTCTTGATAACCTAGAGTGTCTGCCATCTTCTTTGTCGGCCATCTCATCCCTCAGTCGTCTATATTTAGACAGCATTCCGCTCCTGAAATCATTGCCAGACCTCCCTTCCTCCTTGATACATCTGAATATATATACTCTTCATAACCTAGAGTGTCTGCCATCTTCTTTGTCGGCCATCTCATCCCTCAGTCGTCTATATTTAGACAGCATTCCGCTCCTGAAATCATTGCCAGACCTCCCTTCCTCCTTGATACATCTGAATATAAATACTCTTCATAACCTAGAGTGCCTGCCATCTTCTTTGTCGGCCATCTCATCCCTCGAGGAGCTACGGTTACGTACAATTCCACTCAAATCATTGCCAGACCTCCCTTCCTCCTTGAAATATCTGCATATAATTAGGCTTGATAACCTAGAGTGCTTGATAACCTACTGCATATAATTAGGCTTGATAACCTAGAGTGTCTGCCATCTTCTTTGTCGGCCATCTCATCTCTCAGTCGTCTATATTTAGATAGCATTCCGCTCCTGAAATCATTGCCAGATCTCCCTTCCTCCTTGATACATCTGACTATAGATACTCTTCATAACCTAGAGTGCCTGCCATCTTCTTTTTCGGCCATCTCATCCCTCAAGGTTCTATGGTTAGATGACATTCCACTCCTCAAATCATTGCCGGACCTCCCTCCCTCCTTGTATTCACTGAATCTATGTAAGCTTGATAACCTAGATCCCTAGAGTGCCTGCCATCATCTTTGTCGGCCATCTCATCCCTCCAGGAGCTAGAGTTAGATACAATTCCACTCCTCAAATCATTGCCAGACCTCCCTTCCTCCTTGGATTCAATAATAATAGAAAATTGTCATCCAGAGTTTAGGAAGCGATATGAAGAACTTTCAGGCTCTGATTGGCACAAGATCGCGCACATTCCTGATGTCCATATTGATTGATTGGCGTCATTCCAAATGAATCTCTTCCCATCAAAATGTGAAGGACTTGTATGAGGACTTGTTATTTACTTATATTCATCTCATCCTATGCATTGTTATGCTATGCACAGACTTATTTACTATTGTAATAATTAATATCTGGCTGATTTTGATGAACAACTTTTTGGTCTTACAAATTTCGAATTTTGTAGTTCAATACCATAACTGTGATTTAGAATTTTATTTAATTACTTCACACATTTTATCAAAGAGTCTTACATAGCATTAAAGTTAAAATATTGATGGTTTCCTCTTCCCAAATTTGAATATATAAATATAATAATTGTTTGGATAAACCCGGGAATAGAAAAACAAGCAATCAATTTTACTATGAAATTCATTAGTTTTTTTTGTCGAAAACTCACTAAAAAATTATAAGCGGTAGATGAGCGGTAGGTGAGATGTGGTAGGTGAGCGGGCGGAACCCTACCACTCACCTACCTCCCACCTACCACTCTCTTGCTTCTATAGATAGAGAGGGTGTGAGGCTTAGGAGAGCAAGGGAAGAGATCTTAAACTACCACAAAAGAGAAGAGAATAGCTAGAGAGCTAGAGAGAAGGAGAGCATCTTGAGACCTTGTATCAAGGTGTCGCTTGAGAGGGAGACAATAGAAGGAAGGTGATGACTCATCTCTATGTATAAGCTATGTATTCTCCATTTCTTTTGCTTTAGTGAACTATTTGATTGATTCCCTCCCGTGGACGTCGATCCAGTTGGATCGAACCACGTAAACGATCTGTGTTTGCTTGTGTTTTTTGTGTCTCATTTCTATGTCGGGAAGTACATATCTCACAACAGGGGCAGTTACAAACATACGACCCAAATCCTATGTATTTACATCAACTTTGCTTTGTAACATTTCTGCTACCCTAATCTTTTAAAAAATGAATTATACGTTATGATGTATAGGAATTGATATAAACTAGACTACATCTAAACATTTAACAAAAATGTTCATTTGTATAAGAATGGCTTTTATGGCGACACCACAAGAGCGTTATTAAAAGTAAAGTGCAAGGGCTGTTTGGCTGTTTAAATCCATATGCTCTTAAATCATGTAAAATAAGTTTTTCAACAAAATTATCACAAAAAATTTAAAAAATTTAAAATATAGCATTTATTTTTTTAATTTTAAGTATGTATTTGTAAATAAATATAATGAAAGTGCTTTATGGCTTAATTGGCAAAAATCTCTTCTGTTTGTTGCGAAGGTCATCTTTTATTTTTGTAAATTTCTCATTTTATTCTTAGCTCGAACATTATCTAACCTTAAATATATTTATCTTTATAAAATAATTAAATTTATTTATATGATTTTTTTATTTTAATTTATAAAAAAAATAATTTAATTTATAATGCCTATAAGTATTGATATAATATCAACAAAATTCCTTCCTACGACACAAATCTCAAGGCGTATCACTGATCTCAAGGTGTTTTTTTTAGCAAAGAATATTCAAATTTTGATACAATCATCCGGATCTCTGATTAATTTATTATTCTACCGTCGGTGTGCATCAATTTGGTGTTCTGTGAGAAAAGAGTATTCCCATCACTAAAATCCAGCTCACTCCAGTAGCTGTCGACCACCGCATACCGCCACCGACCACCGCAGACCAAAGCCGACCACCACCTGCTGGTTGCAATCAGTCGCCGCCTGTTCCTTATGACAAACTCTTGAATGCACCGTTGTTGTAAATCAAAAGACTTCGTAACCCTCGCCCACTTGTGGGACAATGGATCTCTGCAATCATCAACTTATAGTGAATCTCTTCAGCTATGCCAAATCCCGTGGTTTTTTCTTTTTTAGATTTTCCACGTAAAAACTTCTGGTATTCTTCCTGGTTGTTTTCTTTCTTCTGAGAGTGTTGAATTTTCGTACAACGCTAAGACGATAATTTATTATTCTACCGCCGCAAATCTCCTACATGCATCAAGTATATAAGATTTTGTTTATTTCATTCACATGAAATCAAAAACCTTCTTTTATGGAAAAAATGCATGAGGGAGTAACTTTGCAACCGTAAGTGATACTTATGTAAGAAAGTCAAAATAACTCTTGTTTGTAAATAACCAGTGTTCGGCTCATTGTGTAGTTCGTGTTCAATTCGTTCACTAAACAAATGAGTCAAACACAAGCAAGTTGTATGTGCTCTCTCTCTCTCTCTATATGTATATATACATATATGTAGGGGCAAAAAATAAAAAAAATAATTTAAATAATTTTATTCATTAAAAGGCTAGCAAGAATTATATTCAATTAAAATTACTAATTAAAAAATATAATAAAAATATATTAAATTCTATTTAAATGATTTTTTTAAAATAAAAATAATAAGGTTTAATTCTTGCTCCTACCTTTAACTTCCTACAGTTGTGTAACTAGGGTAGTCAAAACAACTCGTTCGCGAAGAACTCATGTTCGGCTTGCTAAGCAAAAGCGCAAAACACGAACAATTTTTTTTTTGCACTCGACATAAGAATGAGTTGAATACGAACAATGATATTTTTTAACAAATTGAACACAAATAGGAAGTTTTTTAATGGGCTGAATAAAAGCCGAGCCTATACTTGCTCAAACTTGACTCATTTACACTCTTACACCTATGTGGCTCGGCTTATGTGTGTAGTAGTTTAATACTTTTTATTAGAGACTATGGAAATATGTATGAATAGTTTAATTAATTGATATTAATATTTTTATTATCCAATTAAAATATTTGAACGCTTTAAATATCTCAGGTATGTTGTTCAAAGTGATGGTGGTATAGATGCGGATGTTATTAATAGAATTCAAAATTGTCGGTTGATGTAGAGGAATGCCTTGGGCCTATTGTGTGATTAAAAAGTACCACTTAGGTTGAAAGGAAAGTTTTATAAGATGGTGGTGAGACCTGAAATGCTCTATAGTGCAAAATGTTTGCCTTTAAAAAAGAAGCATAAAACTAAGTTGAGTATTGCCGAGACAAGAATGTTTAGGTGGATGAGTTACTTTACACTTAGAGACAAAATGCGAAATGAATATATCGGTGATAAAGTTGGTTTAGCTACACTAGTGAACAAAACTAGGGTAGGCTGAAAGGAAAGTTTTATAAGATGGTGGTGAGACCTGAAATGCTCTATAGTGTAAAATGTTTGTCTTTAAAAAAGAAGCATAAAACTAAGTTGAGTATTGCCGAGACAAGAATGTTTAGGTGGATGAGTTACTTTACACTTAGAGACAAAATGCGAAATGAATATATCGGTGATAAAGTTGGTTTAGCTACACTAGTGAACAAAACTAGGGAGAGTCGCCGTAGATAGTTCGGCCATATCAAACGTCAACCATCTAATGATCTGATTATGTGAGTAGATGTTTTTGATTCAACTTATGCTACTCAGATACTTAGACACCATCCCTTCCATCCTCCACCACACATCCATTATAGCAATCCACTAATTACATCAATGGCTCTACGTCAATGAGAGTCAACAGGAAACCACGGAGGAAATCACACCTTCTTTAACTTATAAACGTACTTTACGCATCCTTCATAGCGAAGCCGCCTACTTCCGTCCTCTTCACCCTCTTCTTCTCTTCCTCTCTTCCACCTTCTCTCCTGCTTCTACCACTATCGGTTCCATGGCAGACTGGTTTGTTGGTCCAGTCATGGATAAGCTCATCAATGATTGCTTTAATTACCTGCAAGATCACTACTTCAGATGGCAGCCAGGCATGAAGGAGGAGCTGGAAAGGCTGCGAGAAAACCACCCCAAAATCCAAGCTGTCGTCTCTGCTTACACCCGAGCACAGATCACAGATCGTAACCCAGCTCTCAACAGATGGATATGGCAGCTACGAGATGCCATCGATGAGGCAGATGATGTTCTTGATGACTTTGAGTACATGAAGCTTGAAGAACAACTGGAGCTGAATATGGAGGAAACAAAGGTGCGTTCTTCATTCTCTAGCTTATTTTTGGAACCTGCTCGCAAGCTTCGCAGAGTCTGCGAACGAGCTCTCAAAAAGGGATACCAGTTGTTGTGTGATCTTTGAAATTTATAACGATCGACGACGAAGTAAAAAATAGCACGAGAAAATTCACACAAAAAA